CTGAGCAACCAATGACGCCACGTATAGATTTTTATTCTGTGCTTTCAGCCTAAAAATAACTCATTATTATTATTATTATTATTATTATTATTATTATTATTATTATTATTATTATTATTATTATTATTATTATTATTATTATTTGTTTATTAATAATGATAATAATGTCTCATGTGAATTAAGCTTCTCCTTAAATATCCATATCATAGCATAATTTTCAAGCGTAATGCTGCTAAGAGATCTATGGTGGCATCTATTTACAAGGGAGACAGGCACTGTTTCTTCAGTAGTACGACCACCAGCCTCTGGATTTTAAATCAACTGAAGAAAAAGTTGTAAATTTATATATCCCAGTGACACTTACTCTCCTTTTTCAGCCAGCATGCCATCGTTCTTGATCGAACCATTACCTGTAGCTGCCATTTACATTTGACTGAAATTATATAAATAACGATTAGGACGAACAGTAAGTGTAGATTAGGCTGTTCGAATGTGTTTTTTTCCTTTCAAAAACATTTTTTAGAGGGCGACAAACTTAGAAAAATAACCTTAATAATAATAATAATAATAATAATAATAATAATAATAATAATAATGATAGGTCTTCATAATTCTGAGTTTGTTGTTAATTATAGAATGTAAGGTGATTTAAAAACTTTAGTACTAATCTTAAGTTGTAATGGCTAAGTTTGGTTTATTTTGTTTAATAAGCTTTAGACATGTTTAACTAGACGTGTCTTTTAATTTACATTGTGCTTAGAGGGTAACTGTATTTTTGTTTATTTGTGTATATCTTAAAATATCTTTCCGTATAATTAATATTTTCAAACTAATAAGGTAATCTAGCGTGTCATGCGACTAAAAATATAAATTCGAATGAAGCATGATTTGTGTTTTGTAACCTTAAGAACACCGACTTCAGTTAATCCTGACACCTTCACTAGTACGAAAAGGTTTCTTCCGGAAAATCAGTAGGTTTTTTTCATTGAACAGAGGAATACGTCTTTTTGTGTTAATAGTTATATAACTTAAGACTACTAAATCAGCATAATCATACAGGTTCCAAAATGAATAGGCTGCAATCTCGTAATTGTCATATTGCATTCTACAAATGTTTGAAATCATTCGGATTTGTCAAACTTAATAATTTAGTAAAAATAAATTGATGTCCACGAAAATTGCCACTACCAACTCAACCAACTTCGTTATCACTATCTAATGCCTCAGCCGACACCATCATCAGCAGCACAGTAATGAAGAACACAAAGAAAAACAATACATTAACTATAAATGTATTTATAATAATATCCATTATTCTAATAACAGTGGAACTCAAGTGCGTCAATTATAAAAATAAACATTAAAATATAATTACTGTATATTTCAGGAATACCAAACGATTTCGATTTATTGTCAAGAGAGCCTATTCTTCTTCAGCAACGCTTGTGCTCGATGTAATTTCCGATAGAAATCCCAGGCTTTGTAAAACTGAATAGCTTGGTATCTTCATATTCAGAGCACAAACATGAAAACAAGAAGGACGACAGTCGAAGCAGGATTTTCTTTTAGCCGCATGGTGGCGGTGTTGCTAAATTTTAGCACTGCAGTACTAAATCTTACGAAAGCCTATTAGGGCCACTGAAATACATATTTTTATGTCGTAATTACGACTTATTATGTCGAAATTTCGACATACGTATGTCGTAATTACGACTTATTATGTCGAAATTTCGACATACGTATAAGTCGAAATTACGACATACGTAT